TGCCTCAGTAAATTTGAAAGCCAAACTGCATGACATACGCTCCAAGATGCCGCCACGTACTCGGCCTCACAGGTCAACAGAGTTACAATGGGCTACTTCTTTGACAGCCAAGTAAAAGCCGTATTCCCGAGTAGGAATACATAACCCGAAGTACTCTTCCGATCATCAACATCTCCACACCAATCACTATCCGAGTAACCCACTAATCGGTAGTCATCCGATTTTGAATAGAAAAGACCAAGTGATAGGCTTCCTCGAACATATCTCAGAATTCTCTTCAAGGTCTTCCAATGTGTGTAGCTTGGATCCTTCATGAATCTGCTTGTTATCCCAACACTCAACATTAAGTCGGGTCTCGTACTTGTAAGGTATCTGAGACTTCCGACTAAGCTTCGATATCTCCCAGAATCAGCTCGTTCTCCTCCATCAAACTTTGAGAGTTTCGTGCCTGATTCCATTGGGGTAGAGACCGGGTTGCAATCCTCCAGTTTAAAATTCTTTAGGATTTCAAGCGCATACCTTTCTTGGGATATAAAAATCCCTTCATCCGGTTGCTTCACTTCTAGGCCAAGAAAATATTTCATCAGGCCTAAGTTTGTCATCTCGAACTCTTTTTCCATTATCTCCTTGAACTCCTTAATCAGTTTTGCATTGCTTCCAGTGAATATGAGGTCGTCGACATAGAGAGCAACCACCATCATATCCTTTCCTGATTTCTTTATGTACAAGGCATGCTCGTACGGACATTGCTTATACTCGTTCTTCTTGAAATACCCATCAATTCTTTCATTCCAAGCACGAGGAGCTTGCTTCAGCCTGTAGAGGGCTTTTCTCAATCTCAGCACCTTTTTTTCATCTCCTCTATTCATGTACCCGAGTGGTTGCTCGACGTACACCTCCTCTTTCAGCACTCTATTTAGAAAGGCCGACTTCACATCCATCTGTAGAATTTTCCATTGTCTCTATGCAGCTAACGAGATCAGAAGTCGGATTGACTCCATTCTCGTGACAGGAGCAAAAACTTCATCATAGTCAATTCCTTCCTTTTGTTTATAGCCCTTCACAACAAGCCGAGCTTTATAACGCTCAACCTCTCCCTCAGCATTCATCTTCTTTTTGTACACCCATTTTACTCCAATGGGTCGAGCTCCTTCAGGAAGGTTGGTCAGTTCCCAAGTTTTATTACGCTCAATCGCCCCAAACTCCTCATCCATAGTTGTTCTCCACTTCTCATCTTGGACAGCTTTCTCAAAACTCAAGTCTTCAGAGTCGGCGAGAAGACATACAACATGAACTTCATTTGTAGTGTCGTATATTTCCCGCAGACTTCTCATCCTGGGCTGTTGTGGCTCGGATTCTTCATCTGAGAACTCGGTGGTAGTTGTTGTTGAAGGTACAACAATGTCCGAGCTAGTTTCTACTTCGGCCGAGTTATTCCAACACCATTGCTTTGTTTCCTCCACGTGAACATCTCGGCTCACAACCACTTTTTTGTTATCAGGATCAAACAACTTGTATGCTTTGGATTTTTCATCATATCCAATAAATATGTACTTCTTGCTCCGATCTTCTAATTTTGTCCTGTGTTGTCTTGGTACTTGCCCATAGGCCAAGCTACCGAACACCCTAAGATGAGAAACACTCGGCTTCATGCCACTCCAGATCTCCTGAGGCGTCTTTTCTCCTAGCTTTGCATGTGGACATCTATTTTGCACATAGACTGCACACTGCACCGCCTCTGCCCAAAACTTCTTTGGCATGTTCTTCCCTTTCAACATTGATCGAACCATATCAAGAATAGTTCGATTCTTTCATTCCGCTACACCGTTTTGCTGCGGAGAATATGGGGCAGTCAAGAAACGCTTGATCCCATGTTCCTCGCAGTATTTGTTGAACTCAACAGAAGTGAACTCGCCTCCTCTGTCAGATCGGACTGCTTTGATGAATTTAGTTGTTTCTTTCTCCACCATCACTTTGAATTTCTTGAAGGTTTCAAACACTTCTAACTTCTCCTTCAAAAAATAAACCCATGTCTTTCTTGAGAAATCATCAATGAAAGAGACGAAATATTTCTTACTACTGAATGATTCTGGAGTTATTGGCCCACACAAATCGGTATGGATCAGTCCGAGTTGCTCCTTTGCTCGATACTCAGAACTCCTTGGGAAAGAAGTCCTCGCGTGCTTCCCGATCACACATTCTTCACAGAACTTCTTTTCAAACTCCATTTTAGGAAGTCCAAACACCATCTCCTTTTTCACCAGCTCGGTCAACCCCCCAAAGTGAAGATGACCGAACCGCAGATGCCACTTAATGGCCTCATCCTCCAAATCAAGTTTCATGCATTCATCTTGAACTATTTTCAACTCAAGTTTGTACATGCAATTTTTCTTCATTTCTACCTGGGCAATGAGTCTTCCGAGTTTATCCTTCAGTTGTAGTTCTCGGTCCTTCATCAGAACCGAGTACCCTTTCTCCATTAACAGTCCCATGCTCAGTATGTTGCTTTTTAGATCAGGTACGTAGCATACATCTCTGATCTCTCCGATTTTCCTATTTCTCAGTTGATACCAGATCGTTCCTCGGCCTTTGACGGCTACTTTCGAAGCATCGCCGAAAGAAACGGATCCGAGCTCCTCCTTTGAAAGTATTTTGAATAAATGCTCGTCACCACACATGTGGTTACTTGCGCTGGTGTCCAAGTACCAAACTGAGTTATCAGAACAACTCAGTTTGATCTCGGAAGAACAGCTCGGTTTGATCTCGGTTTCTGGAACGGTTGTCACCAGCAACACTCCTTCATCTTCTTCCTCGACAAGAAAGTTTGTTGGTTCCTCCTTTTTCTTCTCGGACCTACAATCTTTGGAAATATGACCCAGATTTCCACAATTGTAGCATTTGATCGAGTAACATTCCTTGGCAACATGTCCATACTTTCCACAGTTATAACATTCAATATTGTTATTTGTGTTTGATCGGCCACCCCAGGTCTGACCTCGGCCTCCTCGAGCCTGACCTCGGCCACGCCGAGCCTGTTGGCCGACATACTCATCACCTCGTCCTCCTCTTCCTCGACCACCTAGGCCTCTGCCTCTTCCTCGGCCTCTAGTACTCTGAGCATAGAGCACCTTCTCCTTCTTTATTGTTGCCTTCGCCTGAAGAGCCTGTTCAAGAGACTCCTCCTTCTCCTTCTTATTCTTCTTTCTCTGCTCATACGCCTCTAGGGACCTAGTAAGCTCTTCGACAGTGAGCATTGACAAATCCTTGGACTCTTCGATTGCACACACTATATTCTCAAAGTCATCTGTCAATGACCTTAAGATCTTCTCCACAACTCGGCTTGAGGGAAGATTCTCTCCATTCCTGTTTAGTTTGTTCGCCACAGTTTCCACCCGAGTAATGAACTCGGATACTCCTTCGGACTCCTTCATTCTCATGTTTTCCAGTTCGCCCCTAAGGGTTTGAAGCCGAACTTGCTTCACGCGTTCATCTCCCTTTTTTGCTTTCTCGAGTATATCCCATGCCTCTTTTGAAGATTTAGCATTAGCTATCTTCTCAAAACCCGACTCGTCAACAGCTTCGTACAGCAAATACAGTGTTGCCTTGTCCTTTGCTCGAACAACCTTCAATGCATTCAGTTGGGCATTTGTATACCCCTCGGTAGTCACCGGTTCCTTGTGCCCATTCTCAACCACATCCCAGTTATCTTGGGAGCCGAGAAGGGCCTTCATCTGCAGCTTCCAGTTATCGTAGTTGACATCTTTAGTCAACTTGGGTAGTGGAATGCCATTAGTTAAACCTGCCATCTCTCTTGAGTGTATACGCTCCACTCACACACCTCACAAGACTTTTTGACACTCTTCTCTCGGGCTGGGTACACCAGGTCGGCTCACACTCACCTCACGCACTCAAGCTCTTATGCCAATTTGTTAAGAACAAGAGGCATAAATTGGGAGCAAATAAACTCTCTATATTCTCATTCATATTGTAAATGAAATATTACACTTATTTATAGCAGAAAGAAAAACCAACGTTTATATCTTTAAATGCTACTCATAATTAACAACATTAATATTATTCTAGGAATACCAAACAAAATAAAACTCCTAATTTAAGTTTTATAACACTACTCATGTCCTGCAAATCCACCAAAAGATCCCAGTCACATCTTCATTGGGGCCCACCATTCTGACCTTAGCAGCTTAATCGACCAATTTGTTTTTCTGTCATTGCTAACAATATTTGGAGTTGGGATGGTAGGAGACAAATAGGTCAATAGTTTGATCGGGGCCCGTAGGGGCTATGGGATGCTAGGTTATTTCCAATTATTGGTGCTAAAGTTTCAAATTCTTGTTATGGGTTGGAAATTTGGAATCTAATATCCATTTTGAGTTCAAAGCCAGGGTGATTTCATCCGGATAAGAAATTTCCCAGTGTTTGGTTTGATTCTATGCTTTGATGGAAAAAAAAGATAGATATTTGGATGCCGTGTCTGATTTTTTTTTTTAAATCATTACATTGTTCTTGAACTGTAAATGATTTTTGTTTTTACTATTGCATTTTAAAACAAAATGTGAATGCACTCTTATTAATCGGAGAATATAATAATCACTCCTCACAACACGTTATGTTGCTTTTGTTCAATAATGTAAGAACCCAACATCTAGAATTATAAAGTACCTCCCCTGTGGGAAAATACTTATTGACAGTCACACAAGAGGAAGCCAACAGCTTTTCCAGATACATAAAAATTTAAGTTACACATCCTCTAAGCTCCAAGATTCAAATGGAATAAAAAAGAGGGTCAAAGTTTAAATTCAATGATCCTTTGGTAAATGTAAAGTGTAATAGACTACTGAAATAAATTCCTCTAGCCGTGACAAATGTTCTAATGTGAAATTTGTGATTGAGATTTAAAAACATATGTAATTACATTTAATGATTTAAAATTAATTTAAACAAAGGATCATGCTTGTAACACTTGGGGCATGACGACATACTGCTATAACGGAATTTCTTCGAGTGTATGACTTATTATCAAAACTAACATAAAGAAAGATGATTGCCTTGGACTTTAGAAACATATTCAGCTAAAAATCTAAAAGTAGGCCAGACATAGTTTCTCTCCGTTTTGACTTGTGCAGAGTCCTACTAAACCTAGCTGAGCTTGACCCTTATTGAGTTTTGACCCGTACATGTCCGATCAACCACTCCTGAATGGCCCGTGACTAATATAGCTGGAAATAGGACACCTAAAGCAATATACATAATCCAGAATGGGAACAGTTGTACAATCCTAAGCTTCCCCCTCATTTTACAGAAATTCACAGATACGGGTGCTTTTTACATCGTCCAAAGTTGCATTTGCCACCAGGAGGACCCTTCAGCAAACGTTATGGTGGTTCTCTGAATCTTTGGGAATGAATCCACATTCGGGTAAAAGCATCATCCAATAATTAAGGGTTTAAAAATGCAATGCTGAACAGAAAAGACCATGCAATATTAAAAAGAAAATGCTTGAATTCTAGTTAATATCTTATAATATTATAGCAGAGGTGGTTAAAGTAAACAACTAAATTCCATTCCTTACTGAAACCAGTTACCTAACCACCAATTTGATCACCAAAAAATAAAGGGTAATAAAGGGTAATTACCAAGCCAACAAATGCACAAGAGTATATCTTTTTTAATAGTGTAAATAAGAATATGATAAGAACGGATAAGGTCGGCCCAACACTTATCAGTCTAATATACAAAGGGAGGTCCAGCCTAATTGTTATGGTCATACATGAGCTGTGATGCCCATCCGTAGCTCTAGGAAACCTGCTAACTTAGATGATTGTGCATGTTAGAGGAATATGTGAGGAGAAATATTTTGAATTGTCATGTTATAATTTAAATTATTTATATAAGTAGTTTAACATTTATATTTTTAATAAATGTATTTTAAGATAAAAGATTTAATGCGACAACAGTGTGTGGGATATATATAAAATAATGGCCCACAAGGATCTTGATCCAGCTGGGTGAAGACCATGGAAGATGGGGTCCATAATAGAGAGTCAGAGGTTAATGATAATGTTTTCCCCGTAACATAAAATAGCATAACAGTACATAATTGCCCCTAAGGTAACATAACATAAATACTAGGTTAAATACCTCTTTTGATCTCTTACAATATTTTTTTTTTTAATTTAGTCTTACTTTAATTTTAGGTCTCAATTTAGTGCATGTTTGAGTTTCAATGCAAACGTGAATTTTCACGTTTAGTTGAAGCAAAATTTTTTTGCTTCCACGTAAAATCTATCTTCAACGTGGAGAGAGAGTGTAAAATCAAGTTTGAAAATCCAATCCAAACATGCACTTAGTCCCCAATAAATTAAATCATTGTAATTTGGGACTTCTGTCTAAATAATTTAAACGGAGTTAACTGACGTGGATGCCAGGTGGATGCCACGTAGATGCCACGTAAGTGGATCCCAAAATACTGGAATACACCTTGAACCAGAACGGCTCGTTCTGAAACCAGAACGGGCCGTTCTAGTTCCAGAATTTATTCTTTAATTTTTATTTTATTTTATTTTATTTTATTTTTGCTAATCCAATAAAAAAATTCAATTAAATCCAAGTTATCGAAAATAAAAATTATCACGGGAAAATATTTACTAAAGTACAAAGCATTTCAAACACTAGATTTGGTAATATTGTTAACGGGGATTGATAATTACAAAACATTTGGGCTATACAGTGTATCATTAAGGACGATGCAGTCACTAAGGACAATGGTAACAAGTTTTATTTCATTGTTAGTCAAACTGGAGTGAACTATTTACTACTAAATTGACACTATACAGTCAAGGATGAAACGAAATGGTGTTTCTCCTTGAAGTCATTGACGATGTATCCCAACAATAACAACCTGTTCTTGAGGAGGTACAACCTGAATTTTTGTGATTTAGGGTTTTCCTTCAGCGTTACCCAGATGATTTCCTTTCTCAATAATTTCTTTGAACTTTTTTAGTATATGTTATGTTTTAAATTTTTGTTTTCTGTTTCTGAACCATGTTTCTGTCTTTGAATTTATGATATATTATGAATTTTTATTTTCAATTTTTGAATCACATTGCGGCATTTTAGTCAGGATTCTGAACTGGATAAGTTCAAATCAAAGAAAGATTTTAGAAGATCTTATCTTATTTGATTTTTTTTAGTTTTATTTATAAATAAATATTAATTTATTGTATTTTTTATTTTATATTTTTTATTAATATAGATATAAAAAAAATACAATTAAAAACATGAATTTGGCGTTTTGGAACGGGCCGTTTTGAATTCAGAACGACCCGTTCTAGAAGCAGAGCGACCCGTTTTAGAAGCAGAACTGTCCGTTCTGGTTTCAGAACGGCCCGTTCTACTGAACTCATGTTGTGTTAAATTTGCATTTGGAACAGCCCGTTCCGGTTGCAAAATTAACACACCAAGAGTGCATCCAGAACGGACTGTTCTGGTTCCAGGTGTAGTCATGCAATTTAGCGTCTACGTACACGTTCACGTACACATCCACGTGGCCAACAGTTAACCCTGTTTAAATTATTTGGACGGAAGTTCCAAATTACAATAATTTTAATTATTAGAGACCAAATTAAAACCAAAAATTAAAATGAGACTAAATTAAAACAAAAAAATATTATAAAGGACGAAAAGAAGTATTTAACCTTTCTTAAAAAGTGTTCTTATTAAATATTCCCAAAAGCATAAATATTATTATCTTGTTTCTAGTTTTCATTAAAACAGACCTAATAATACCCTGTATGGTTGCTCCGCTCTGCTATCGTAGTTGGCACCTCTGCAAAACCCACTTGTCGAATTGCAATCCCCATTCAAAAGGGTATTCGAATTTGGTTTCAAATTTTCATCTTTCAACTTCACCAACATGTCTCTCCCTTTCTCCTCTCACATTCTATCTGCCACTGCTTCTTCTCGTTTCCAGCCCTTGCCTCCATTTCTGGGATTCAAGGTACCCTTTTCAACATTTTCTCTTACAATATTCTTGCTTCCACATAGTAAGGCAATTCCTCATATTCTGTTGTAGTCTGAAAGAAAAATGATAGTAAAGGATGCTAAAAAATAGCAAAAGAAAAAGACACTGCCCCTAATGTACACAAATTATAATTATTTGTTTTAGGGTTAGAAATTTTTTGATCGTATTATATCACTCAATCAATATCATCAAAAGTGATTAGAAAGGTAAGAAAAAGGTTTATATATGGTGGGAGAAACTTATAGTGCAAGCTAGGCTAACTATGGTTCAAGAGAACCATGGTTAGCTTAGCTTGACCATCCTAGACAGTTTAGGAGGCTTGTGGAGCAAGCTTCTAACTTAGAAGCTTGGGAA